TTGACAACTGGCCTCTGTAGCTCAGTTGGTTAGAGCTTGACAACTGGCCTTGTGGCTCAGTTGGTTAGAGCTTGACAACTGGCCTTGTGGCTCAGTTGATTAGAGCTTGACAACTGGCCTCTGTAGCTCAGTTGGTTAGAGCGCTACACTGGAATCGCAGGGCCGCGGGTTCGATTCCTACCAGAGCCGGAGGGCCTATAGTTGCATTTTTCACAACTGTTCTTGGTTATGTCGAACAAATGTATAAAATTCACACTCGAGATTTTCAATCCTTTGAACAGCATGACTGCCATTGCATGATTGCTTAATTATCTCGAAAATTCATCGTCTTCTCCGAGCACAACTTTATAAACTTCCTAACGGAGTGCCTTTGGTCGAAACGTCGAAATTCTCCTTGCATTTTTCAGGTAGTTGAATCCCTATCAATCCGAAGCTTTTTTCCCAACTTTAAAAAGCATGAACGAAAAGTAGAACAAAGACTTTGCAGAGTTTCGAGACCATATCTTGATTGACTATCGGTCAACCTCTCTGTCCTCCACAGAAGCTCTTAAAGGGGCGCGGGCAAAGGAAGAGGAGAAGACCCTGCGATTGTCTTCACACCACGTACCTTCCAACGCCATGGTGAAAAGTTGATTTCCTTCAAAAGCCTCTGCGAAGGAAAGAATCAGTGAACTCAGTTCACAGCCAAACACCGCCAATGCATGTCGCCAGTTGATTTTTTTAGTCTGGAACATGAACATCACGATCATGTTGAACAAAGAGTACAGTAATATCCTTTAAGAAAAAAGGAAAGAATTGGTTAATTAATGTACAGCTTAGTTAATTAGGTTAGTTGGTCGGTTGGTTGATGGAGTGGGCGGTGCTAATAATATTTCCATGCAGATGAGGGACAAATTGCAACAAGACTTCGTTAATTTGAGGTTGGGGGTGGGTGGAGATTGGGTGTGTGTGTGCCAAGTTCTTTATCAAATCTATTTTTGGATTTGAAAAGGCAATTACAAAAAAAAAAAAAAATGAAATAGAGACAAAATGAGATAGCAACATGATTGTGAAATTGTCAAGCAAGCCATAAACTAGTGCCTTGCTGCTCTAGCTCCTTCTAATGATTACCCACTCGGTGATTAGCACACCCCCTGGATCCATCCCTATCCTGCTCTCGACTCACAGTTTGACAACTTAACTCAGCGGAAAGGGACAGCCCGCTGACCCAATCCTTCATCTTAATAAACGATCATGCGAGATATAAAACTTACAACTGGTTCATGGGGTACTTGGTCGCGTCGTAGTCCATTGATCTATTACAACAATGAATTGAACAACAATTATGATTATGTTGGATTACATGAAAAAGCTCATGCCCATGCATAGGGCTTAACAATTGGTGGGAGAATTATATTTCAAGCGTAAAGGTACAGTGTAGTATTCCACAATAATTTATATACATTTATTAGACCTAACCAGGAACAGCTACGAAAAATGCAACCTTAGTTCCCTGACAGGAATTGAACCTATAGGCCGCAGTTTCAAGTCCCGCAGGACTTGAAACTGCGGCCTATAGGTTCAATTCCTGTCAGGGAACTAAGGTTGCATTTTTCGTAGCTGTTCCTGGTTAGATCTAATAAATGTATATAAATTTCCACTCGACAATTCCATTTACAAGACTCTTCAACTAGTACTATTATTGAATCGAGTGAGATGCCAACAAAATCTTAGTATTCTACAATAAGCTGTCGTGGTTTGCGTCTGAACTACCTGAAAAAGATATCTCAAACGTGGTGGTCCAGTGTAGGTAGTATTCTACAATAAGCTGTCGTGGTTTGCGTCTGAACTACCTGAAAAAGATATCTCAAACGTGGTGGTCAAATGTAGGTAGTATTCTACAATAAGCTGTCGTGGTTTGTGTCTGAACTACCTGAAAAAGATATCTCAAACGTGGAGGCCCAGCCAGTGTAGGTAGTATTCTACAATAAACTGCCGTCGTTTGTGTCTGAATTACTTAAATGATTAAAAACTGTACGATTTCCCGTGTGAAGAAACAAAACCGGACGAATTTGGGTACGTTGCATATACAGTAGCCCATGGACATGCATCCAGAAAGGGCTCCACTATTCATCGCACTTACAAGGCAGTTAGGGTAGCGATTACAACAACAGAAAATAATACTTACGATCTCGCGAAGCTCATCATGGAAAGCATGACCGTCTTCTTCTTGAACTTGAAAACGTGTATAAAACGCATCTGCTATGCGTAGCAGCTCGTTATTGTATGTGCGTAAATTATTTGACTGTGCTGTCACCGCGTTAAGTTGAGCCACTACTGCGGTCAGTTGAGTCTTTAGTTGTTCAGCCTATAAGTGCGTAAGTACAGAAGGAAAATGTGTAAACATTCCTTGTCAGTAAAAGTAAAATATGCACAGGATGGGGTGTTGGTTAGTGCATGTGTTTCGTCTCCGTGGGCAGGTTTTTATTTCTACAACATGCACGTATTTGATTATAATTTCATCTCAGAAGCAAGAGTGCTTCAATTTGACTCAAACGACTGTAGTATTTCTCCGGATACTCCGTTATAATCCTGTGTCGAACCGGACCGGCTAATCTGTAGTAGCACGGAACCGTTGTCCAATCCGGGGTTGCTTTCAAGTTTCAATGAACCTCTAGGGAGAACAGTTTAGAATTGTGGAGCTATTTATAAATATAGTTAGTGTATAGTTTAAATTTCCTCCCGCTTTACACTGCAACAATAAAAGATTGTTTTCTACGGATAGATTTAAACCGATGAAGATTGCATCAAGGGGCCAGTTGTATAAAACTCTTAACTACTTTTTAACCACTATTTTGTGGTGATATTGATTGGTAAACTTTCGTACTAACTGTAGTTAACTTTAACTACCTTCTTAAGGTCCAGACACACCGGACGCGATTCGACAACACGACGCGATTTTTTAGTTTTTGAAAGTTAATAAAACAGTCAATGAGAGCGGATTTTGAAAGATATGTAGACCAAATAACTCCAAATGTTATAGCGCTTCTAAATATTTGGAAAATTCAACTCTTGATCAAAATTATCGGTCAGTGAAAATCGAAAAATCGCGTCGCGTTGTCGAATCGCGTCCGGACCTAATTTATACAACCAGGCCCAGTACAATAAACGTTAGTTTAGTTTAGTTTTGGTACCTAGCCATGCAAAACTGAAGTACAATAGTCATTGTACCTGTTGTTCCAATTCATCAATTTTGTTATTCATATCATGATGAATTCTTCGTTGATTTGCGTTTTTTCTCCTTGATGATTCAAGAGCGATATCCCGTTGACCAACCTAAATCAACATTATTCAAAACGAGCGTATTAGAGAGATGTTGTATTTCCGGAAAGCTAACCATATGAAAGAGATGAGCACAGTGGGAAGGAGCCTGTCATAGAGAGGTGACTGTATTAGAGAGGTGAACATATCAAAGTAGCGTACATATACTAGAGAGCATCCATATACTAGAAGGTTTGACTATCTTACGGGCGTCAGTTGGTGATGTAAATAAACTTCACATCCAGTGTCGTAATCTCTTAAGGTAATTCCGCAGTAATTGTTCCCGAAATGAGAATGTGCTGAAACTTCCCAGGCATGGAGTTTATGATATACTTAAAGTAAAATCACACAAAAAAGTCGGGGTCACCGAACTCGTTAAGAAGATATGACAATCACAATATACCACCTTTACCCCAATATGGCATCATCTTGACGCTCATTACGAGTAACAGCAAAATCACAACAGCCCGATATTTATTCCGACGTTTTTAGCGCGGATTTTGCTTTTGTAAACTTATCTTGTAATTATTTTTGAAAAAATATTGTGTTTTGAGCAAAATGAAACTACTAACGTGTACAATTCTGATCTATAAATGTCTTTTCCACATTTCTTTACATATCTTTCTTGGAGAACATGCATTGATAAAGGATTTTTTTTCAAGATCCAGAAATGATTTTTCTTTTAATTTCGGATATGAAATGTAAAATGCATTAAAGAAATAAATGATCAGTTTTCCACATTTCTTTACATATCTTTCTTGGAGAACATGCATTGATAAAGGATTTTTTTTCAAGATCCAGAAATGAGTTTTCTCTAGTTTTAATTTCGGGTATGAAATGTAAAATGCATTAAAGAAATAAATGATCAGTTAAAAAACGGGGGTCACCGATCTTTTTAGGGAATTGTGGCATTAAAACGTGGAATACAAGTAAATATACTACAGACACATGGAACCCTAGCTACACTTTTGTATGCCTTTTTTGAAAACATTGATTTTAACGTAATTCTTTGCACGAATGTAACCAAAGATGTTTTGAAGTAACATAAAATTGTCATAAAATGATTTTTTTAAACGGTATACGACTATACGTATAGCGGACGAAATTATAAGTTATAAGATGTGCGCAGTAAAAGTGCGCAATGCAAAACTGCGGAATTACCTTAATAACACCTAACATTTACCCTTACCCTGCAAGGAACGCCTGTGAGGTACTAGAGAGGTATCTGCAATAGAGGGTTGCCGTGATATCACTAATATGGAGGTTACCATATTAAAGAGGTATCATTAATAGAGAGGTGTATTGAAGCATGGATAATAAAATAAATGGATAGGAAACTAGCTGACGTGACCTAATGTTTTCAATGGGCTGATGGCGTGATTGGACGTTGAAACCTAGTTGCAAACCAAATTCTCAAAAACGGCATGTTTAGCAATAATACAGCTAAACATTTTAGTCAAAGAGCAAATGAATATAACTACGCCATTCTACGATGAAATCTCTAAGTATTCCCAGTCAATTTTAGCAAATATATCAAGCACTAAACAGTGAAAAAGGCATCCCACATTTCGTTAAAATTGGGGACGCCAATTTCGCAGCTACAAATGTAAAAAAATACAAAACAAAGACGAAAAACATTTACCTTGAATACTTTGTCGTGGCTTAGGCATGTTTTTAAAACAATTAGACCGGTTTATGCTTCAATATTGCTCTTTTAAGGCGGAAAATATAGCGAAACAACAAAAATGCCGAGAACTTTGCAATACGCGTGACGTCACAGATTGCAACTAGGTTGATTTTGCTTACGTCAGCGAGAGTCCTATCCATTTATTTTATTATCCATGATTGAAGGTATCATTAATAGAAGGTATTCGTATTGAAGTGACGTCTGTATAAATATTAGAGAGGTGTCCATAAGGAATGGTTTAACTGTACATAATTTTCATCCAGGGACATGTGATGAAGGTATAAACTGTACCTCTTTTTCGAGGCTACTCTTTTCACGTGTCAAATCGTCATTTCCTTTCATTACGCCATTTACTTGTTCTTGCAATGCCATCATGCCTTCTTTAGAATCCTTGTACTATATTAGAGAACATACAATAAAAACAAAACGAACTATTCATCTTTACTTTCCTGAGAGTTGGATTGTGAAGGACGCCACTCAAATAATTGGCTGACTCAAAGGCTCATTAGGGAATCTTGAAAAAACTTTGACAAACTACTTTCATATTTATTCCGAAATTGCAGAGTACAACGAAAAATTCATTGTTTCGAGCGGGATTCGAACCCTCATCTTTAGGTTGCTAGACCGTCGCTCTACCCATAAGCTTTTGAGTCAACGGGGATTGGTACCGAGTCTTATTCATTTGCACAAAATGTTTTCGCGACGACTTAACGGCGCTTGTCTTGTATAGGACGCGCAGTGGTTCAATTATATTTCAGAACCATCCTCAGAGATATAGCTAAAAAACTAGCTTCATTGGATAAGACTCGCTACCAATCTCCGTTGATTCAATAGCTCAATGGTTAGAGAGGCGGTCTACTCACTCTGAAACCCCCCAAAATAAGGTAGATCCGGGTGCATTGATGGCCGAGTTAACCAGCAAATTTTAACCAGAGCATTTCTAGGGTGAGGAGACCATAATAAGGTTTACCTTTTGTTCAAGATCAGGTATCCTTTCAGCTTGGGCCTGGAAATCCTGTAACTTTTCCATCAGTGATTTCTTTTCTTCTTCTCGATCACGATGCTGGTTTTTAGAAATATAAAAAAACTAAGTTTCATTGGATAAGACTCGCTAATGATCCTCATTGACTCAATAGCTCAATGGTTAGAGAGGCGGTCTACTCACTCTGAAACCCAAAAAAATAAGGTAGATCCGGGTGCACTGATGGCTGAGTTAACCAGAAAATTTTAACCAGAGCATTTCTAGGGTGAGGAGACCATAATGAGGTTTACCTTTTGTTCAAGATCAGGTATCCTTTCAGCTTGGGCCTGGATATCCTGTAACTTTTCCATCAGTGCTTTCTTTTCTTCTTCTCGATCACGACATTGGTTTTCTTCCACGATCTTAAACTATAAAATGCAGGCAATAAAGACAATTAACTGCACAACTTTATCCTGTTAAGTGTTTAGAAATAAAAGCACCATTAAACAATTAAATTATAACCCTTAAGATTCCTAAGATCTACCTGTTGTTTAAGCTCATCCATCTTTTTTACTAGGGAACTGTTCTCCGTCTCTAAGCCATTTATCTTTAACTGCAATGCTGTCTTGTCATGATGGAGGCTTTCTTCCAGAGTCTTGTTATTACAATGAAGAAAATATAAAGGCCGATTTATACACAACTTTTGTTAAACTGTGACACGCATGCAACCTACTTACAACTTGAGCTGTACATAAATATGTAAATCAAGCAACTCACCTATGACAATTAACGTAGTTAAACATTATATCTGTAGTGTGCCTGAAACATTTTAATTCTTAGCTTAAAGGACAATAGCAAACAGAGCGTTGATAATTTGTAGGTGTTTTAAGGTCATGGATGAATCTGCTTGTTCCGTTCTGTTACGTTTTACACTAGAAGTTTAACTGTCGCAAGGAAAGTGCTGTACATTATCTTTTGTTTATAAAGTAATTATATTGGCTTTTTATCAACATATATACACGAATGACTGGACAGCTAGTTGCTGTAGCACAGTGCAGTAAATTTGCTTGTTAAAGTACAGTAAAAATATGCCTATTGACAACATCGATCAACATGTTTACACATTTAACCATAATATAATAACACAAGCATTATCTAAATATTTTCTCGTGAGCTCTCGTAAAAAATCAGTTTAAGAGTAGAAGTTCTGCAAAGCAGAGAATGTATATCAAGCAGATTTTTTTAGGGTGGTGCGCTGGACTTCTCTAAGCCTAGGGGGATGCTTAAGACACCACGTAAGCCACTAAGATTGGGTGTGCACCCTCACGGTAGTCATGCATACACCCTTGCACTTAATAAGACATTACTCACCACATTTTTCTGCAAAGTGTTCATTTCATGAATATCACTAATACGCTTCCGAAGTAAATCATCACATTCTTTCCGACTATCATCACATTGTTTCTGTAAATTGTCACATTTCTGTGTCAGTTCTCGTTTCTTTTCTTTATCTTTTTTTCGCTTTGACTGCAAGTGATCTATTGTGGAAACATGTACCTCACAACTTCTACACTCTTCCTTAGCCTCCTGGGATTTTAACCAGCTCTTGTCTTTTCCAGTTTCATTCTTTATCCAACTTTCCTGATCTTCATTTTCCACTACAGGCAGGGTCTGAAATCGGTAAAATATTTTTCAGTACCCCATTGGCATACCAGGATTCAAAGTTCTAATATCCCATCTGAGAATTCAGTATCCCACTTCTGGGTATATACTATATCCATGCAAAACTAAATTTTAGTATTGTGTGGATATCGGGATACTGCAAGTTTCAGACCCTGAAAGGCGTCCCATCATAAGTCGTATGACCGTGGACATAAAATCCTAGTCAAACAAGGATGAGTGTTGGCAAGCAAAAGTTTGCATGAGAGTTTTCGCAACTCTCATGCCCCGGTCAAACGAGAACAAGAGTTGCATGAGAGTTGAGAGTTTGCATAAGAGTTTTCGCAACTCTCATGCCCCGGTCAAACGAGAACAAGAGTTGCATGAGAGTTGAGAGTTTGCATGAGAGTTTTCGCAACTTCCATGCCCCGGTCAAACGAGAACAAGAGTTGCATGAGAGTTGAGAAGCGAGAGCTTGCATAAGAGTTTTCGCAACTCTCATGCCCCGGTCAAACGAGAACAAGAGTTACATGAGAGTTGAGAGTTTGCATGAGAGTTTTCGCAACTTCCATGCCCCGGTCAAACGAGAACAAGAGTTGCATGAGGGTTGAGAAGCGAGAGCTTGCATAAGAGTTTTCGCAACTCTCATGCCCCGGTCAAACGAGAACAAGAGTTGCATGAGAGTTGAGAGTTTGCATGAGAGTTTTCGCAACTCCCATGTCCCGGTCAAACGAGAACAAGAGTTGCACTATAAGAGTTGACTGGATATCACCGCGCAATAGCGAAAACTCTCATCAACTGTTGTTAAAATTTGAACAAGTTCAAAGTCAATATGAGAGTCGATGCACATTAATTCTTACATTGTCATTGGAGTTATAATTTCTGCAGCAGCTAGGAATAAAAGCTGTTTTGTTTGTCTGATTTGTTTAGTCAAATTTACTTGCACAAATACACAAAAGGACATTTTGTCAGACATTTCCATTTCCAGTACTTTTTGTGGGTAAATATCAGGGTGCAATATTAAACTGCTATCAAATTATTAAATGCAACTATTTCTTACCAAACCACTATGTTGTTGTTCTTTCGTGATATCAATTTGCATATGGGCAATATATCCGGCTGTAACAAATGTATTACCGGTATTTTTAGAGCCCTTTAATGAGGCCTTCATTGATCTATCTTCTGACTGCACTGGCGACATTGTTGGCTCCTAAACAAGCAATCAACACAGCATAGACTATAAGAATTTTATTTAAAATTTGGGCCATGCTTATTTTTTGTTGGATTTTTCTCACCAATATTAAAGGGTGGGAGGGCAAAAAAAAAAGAATTGTCTAATATATCAAATACCACATGCAAGTGTGACAGCAGGGGCAGATTGCATGATTGCCGCATGGCGCCGAACTTGCACCAAAACACAAGGGATCCAAGGGTACACACGTAAAAACGCACAGGTTATTTACTGTTCACAAGCTGTTAACAAGATGTATTCGCACTGCTTGTCACAAGTTGTCAACAGGTTTGGAACAACTTGTTGACAACTTGTAACAACCTTGTCGAAATTATCAGACTTGTTGCAAGGTTGTTCTGACAAGTCTGTGACATGCTTGATATAACAAGATTGTTACAACCTTGTATTGACAATCTTGTAACATCCTTGTTATATAACGCCGTAACAAACTTGTTAGCACAATCTTGTAACAAGGCTGATAATGCCATCAAGCTAATTGTTACAAGTTGTTAACAGCTTGTTTCAAACTTGTTACAACAAACTGGGAACAAGCAGTGCGAGCATAACTTGTTGACAGCTTGTGAACAGACGTGTAACAACTTGTTTGCAAACTTGTTACAACTTGTGAGTTTTTACGTGACATACGTGTGTAGTGTAAAGTTTCACTGAAATTGAAAAAGACACGACAAGAACTGCATAGGGTCGCCGATAACCTATAACAGTAAGAGTCTGCATGGAGTAGGCATGTTAGAACTTTTTACGAGATAAACAATACCTTATCACTCCCTTCGTAACTCATTTATTAAATGTTGAATACCATTATCTATTGTTTTTACTGCGTTCGGCACATGAGTAGCGCGACGTTTGAAACAAGCCTAACACATCAGAAACGTAGACTTTCCAAAGTCCTTTCCAGGCCCTTCTATGGCGAAACGTCGTGCCTCGTGGAACTGATACAATTTATTTATTTATTGTGATGCTACACGCGACAACTCGAAAGACAACTCGAAATTTAAATTGTTTCACCAACAACCAAATTTTGTATATTCTAAAACTACATTTGTATAGGGAGCTGTTGCTAAAAGTATCCCCACGAGGCGACTGATATGCTAAACTACTTATTTAAAACTATGATTACTCCCATCATCCTTTCAGCGCCCATGCATATTGCACATTTGACTATTGTCTCAGTGACACTCTTCAATTGAAATAGCTGTATAACTAGTTAATACGACGTTGCGTCCATTACAAAGGCAAAGAAATATAAATAAAAAACACAGAAACGTAAAAATGAGGCAAAAAAAATGATTAAAATGACGCATTTTATTCCCATATCCGTTCCGCATTTTAACCTAATTGTGACATGTTAATTCACAACAAGTCTCATTGACTTTGACGTTGTGTTTCATGAATCATTTTCATTTCGCATGCATTCAATAATGTCGCTTTAGATTTCAATAGTTTCACTCAGTTATAGCAGTGTTTATAGCAGTTTTGACAAGCTTTGATACAGATAGATTCGTATGATCTGGTACAGTTCCCATTGCATTGAATATTGCATTGAACACGAGTTTGCACAGTTGTATACGTTGGATGCCTCCTTGGCTTTTTCTTCTATTTCATAAAGCTTGCTGGGAACTCAAGCGGTTGGCAATAACACTGACGTTGGAGTATCTCCTCGTCTTTCTCGTTTGAATAAAGAGTTCTGACGATAAAGAGATTTTCCAGTGCATTTTTGAAGTATACTGTTTAATAAACGAGCAGAGGTTTTATTAGGTTTAGTATTCTTTATATAAAGAGTACTAATGAGGACACGACTACAATAGATTCTGCCTTATTAGTATTCTTTTTATAAAGAATACTAATTAGGAGTGTTTTATCAGGTTTATCAGGAATACTAATTAGGAGTGTTTTGTCAGACATATTATGGTTGACATGATTTGCCAATAAGCTTATGAATTATTAATGAGTGTTTGAAGGATTCTTCAGTGGTGGGGCAAAACTGCCAACAAGCCCATTCTCTCCTCCCCCCAGGATAGTGCATAAATCAGTTAGCTATGGGGGTCTGGGGGCATACCCCCCCAGGAAATGTTTAAAATTTGGGTCTCTGAAATAGCATTTCCTGCATTCTGAGAACACATTAAAAAAAATTCAGCTTCTCAAAACAAAGTTTTAATGGTGAAATTTGTAATAAATTACATGCTAAACATTCAAAGACAACATAAGTTTAAGTATATTAATCACCAACACATTCAGAACCTCAAATGAATGTCAACCCGGATTGCAGGCTCATTGGGGGAGGGGGGGGGTGCAGGCTCATGCAAGCTGACCCAAGTTGAAAACAAATGGCATGTACTAAAAGGCAAAACGTCAAAACGACAACATCGAAACAGCCAAAACCTCCAAAATGAAACGGCCAAAACCACCGAAAATGGAAAATGCAATACTACATTAGCACAGAATACTAACCTATTCTACGACCGCAAGTGGTCCCTCCTTTCTGCTGGTTTAGAAGTTAATCTCTATTGTGTTTTTCATCATCGATCTGCCCCACAGCAAGTGTAACCCTAAACAGAAGCAATCACCCCCTGACGTCACCACCTTTTTGGGTATTTCCAGGGGGGGGGGGGCACTTGCTGAAGAGCGGATTGATGATGAATAGAAAAAAAAAACAACAGAGATGTCTTTCTGAATATAGGTTAGTATTCTGTGCTAATGTAGTCAAAGTCCTCTGGGTTGCCCGCACACCACAAAATTTTTGCATTCCATTTTTCCTGTAATTTTAAATGGTTTCGGCTGTTGTTTCGTTTTGGCTGTTTCTTTTTGGCCATTTCATTTCAGTCGTTTCGGTGGTTTCAGCTGTTTTGTTTCGGTCAGGTTTCGTTTCGACGTTTCGCCTTTTAGTACATGCCAAAACTAATGCGTACTGTTACTGACAACCCGAGTTGATGTAAACATGATTAAAATGGTATTGGTAACAAGGTATTTTAATTTAACCCATGTTGAAAATCATCCAAGGTACATACAAGTACATAGCCATAGTAATAAATGTTAGATAATTTTATGAAATTAAACAGAGTATTCTCAATAAGGTAATGATTATACATGATGGCAGGTTATAGATTTCCTCTTTCTTTGAAAAATCTGACAGGCTTACATGGGGCAGATTCAGAACGGGTTTAACAGGTTTAAAGGGAAGTCCCTTTGACCTTTGTATTAAAGTGTGCGCTGTGCAGCAGGTTTAACAGGTTTAAAGGGAAAGTCCCTTGGCCTTGATCAACAAAATGACTTTTTCCTATTCCAATTTGTAAATACTGTTTTAAAAACATTCCACAGCTGCCGAAATAGGTACTGAGCGAAATGGGCTATTAAAAGAAAATACACATATCCTTACAGACACAGTACTCAATTACACAGCTAGTACACAGTACTCAATGACAATATATCGCACTTTCGCAGTACAAATAAAAAATATTAGTTTTCAATCTGATGCGATAAGTACGATCAAGGTTTTATCACATCGTGTATTGGAATGTGTTTTGACAGTGAAAAAGCTTCGAACTTCAAGGCAAAATACGAAAGGAAACTTGAAGACTACAAGTCGAAAGTGAAACTACGCATTTTAAATACGAACGAATTCACACACAAACTGAAAGACTGATAAAGCGTTTGGAAAATATACATAAACCCACCTAAACTGTGAAATATTAGTATAAAAGAGAATAAGTTAACATGACCCAATGTTATTTATCAAAAAACTACATGCAATAGTAAAAAAAATTAACACATTTATCGCTTACAAAAGCGTCCAATGTCGAGGCGGACGAACAGTTATCGTTCAAATGTCTATTGGAACAGCTTTCTTCTGTCATTTTCGGCGATGCAAGTTCACTTCTGGCTAATTCTAAAAAAAAGAGTGTCAAAGATAAAAACTCTCTGACAAGCTAGAAATAAACCCAGCTATATTTGATACATGTACTCGCAAATGCCATTTATAACTGAATTTCCGCTTAGCGGAAAGAATTCCAGGAAAATACATCCCTTTTGAATTCCTTGGCACGAGCTCTGAAATTCCTTACAGTAATAGCACAGAATTGAATAAATAATAAATAGTTGTCTAGAAATTCCATATTCTAAAATTGCCGAAAACTATAAAAAATTCCTGTTTTAAAGGAAAGAACGCAAAATGCTTCTAGGGGTGCTTCCAGGGGATGCTTCCAGGGGAAAACTACTGTAATTCCGCTATAAAATCACCGGTGCTTGTTGCCCTATGTTTGTTGCCATTGGTCAATATTTGCTGCGCTCGCGTTACGCCACCTGCTCGCGGTCACGTGGTTATGGGTTATACGTCAGGGGCCGGTTGTTCGAAGGTCGAATAGCTGGATAGTGATTTTTTCAACTGTACCTATGTAAAATGTTTGAAAAACTGTGAAACTACGGATATAGACGACACAAGAAGGATAAAAAACATTTAACTTATAAATACTAAACTTTAATACGAGTTATACCAATCAACGACTGATTTAACAAAGCTTGAAAAAATCACTATCCAGTGGATAGCGCTGTCGGGCCTTCGTACAACCGGCCCCAGTACGTTGTTGTGTGAAAATGTATTTGGACTCGCACGCTACCATTATACATGCTGCAATGAATGTTTTGATTGTTTTGGGGGGTAGAGTCGGTGAAGTGCCATTTTGTAAGCATTTTAGGGGCTATTTTATCGTGTTTTGGTGATTTTGAATAACCTTTATTTAACACATAACAACTCTACTTGCCCGATGCTCGCAGGGCATTTTTTAAGAAATTACAACTACTGGGGCTAACGCCCGTATTCTAAAAGCTCACTCACACTCACAGTCAATAAGTGGAGGTTCAATCTGAGCTTCTCTTGAGCGTCAATGCTGTTTTTGAATAGCTGGAGGGGTGGTGCCATACCTTACTATGTGACTGCTCACCCTCCAGCTGTTCAAAAATAGCAATGACACTCAAGAGAAGCTTAGATTGAACCTCCACTCATTGAGTGTGAGTGAGCTTTTAGAATACGGGCGTAAGTCTCATTGAGGGCCTTTTCCCCACAGTTTGTACGGGTACATAAAAATCACTGTGCTCAGGGGCAGCGCTAGCCGTATTTGAATAGGCGGGTGGCTGTAAGTAAAATATTGCCTACTCAGCCTAGACCTAGGCCTTCTAGTCTTACTTATATTTTTTAATATTCAGCGCTTTTTCACATCAAAAGACTGGGACTAGGTGATTTGGGGGCGGTGCGGAGGAAGCAAGTCAGGCTTGTGTCCATTCTCGTACCCAGAGCCCTTCTTACGCGCGGTGCGACGAGGGGCTCTGGCCAAATCCATATTCCGAACTGGCATTAACTGGCATCTGATTGGCTAGTTCTAACACCGGACATTGTTTTCTTACCATGTTTTTATGGTATCCGGTTATGGATTTGGCCAGAGCCCCTCGTCGCACCGCGCGTAAGAAGGGCTCTGGGTACGAGAATGGCTTGTGTCCTTCCTCCGCCCCCAAATCACCTAGTCCCAGTCTTTTCATGTAAAAAAGCGCTGAATATTAAAAAAATAAAAATAAAAATAGAAGGCCTAGGTCTAGGCTGTTGCCTACTAATGTCAAACGCTAATTAGTATTTCTTTTCATCCAACTGGGATTAAATAATTTACATCCAACTGGGATTAAATAGTTTTCATCTCTGAAGTTTCGAAACAAATAGATGTGTAGAACTGACATAAACTAAAACAGCAGGTTAAATTTTCAAACCCAGGGTTAGCGCTAATCCAGCTTTGAACAACCGACCCTGAATATTAGTTTTGTCTTAAGATTAAAAATATTTTGACATGATGTGAGGTATATTGTGTAAATTAATGAAATGACTGATGGTCGACAATTATATCGTTGTAAAACTAAAATATATTTTACGTGTAGAAATTTATGAGAAACTAAAAGTTACTAATTTGACTTCTGTGCGTGTTGGTGTTATGTATTCAGGTGAATATGATGTTTGTGATGTTACTCTGAGTGTGCATCCACACCGAGCAGGCTGAAAGGTTAGCTTGGCCACGGTGGCAAAATCTCTCGTGTAATATTGAAAAGACATGACTTGCTTTTGCTTGGAAGCGGTTGTTCAAAGCTGGATTAGCGTTAACCCTCGGTTAAATTTAACCTTTTGTTTTAGTTTTTGTATTTCTGCAGGCATATCTGTTTATTTCAATAACAAGAATTTCTGCGGTAAACTAGCTCTTATAAACTGCCCTGCCCCTATATAGGATGAGAGTTGAGAAGCGAGAGTTTGTACGAGAGTTTTCTCAACTCTCAGTATTCCCACCCCAACGACAACAAGAGTTGCATGAAAGTTGACTGGATATATACCCGATTCAAACGAGCAAAAACTCTCATGAATTTTCATCAAAATTTCAACCAGCTCAAAGTTGATGAAAGTCGATAAAAATTGGCAGTCAAACGCCAGCGAGTTGTTTTGAATGTTCTTTTTGAATGTTCTTCACTGCCAGTAGCAAATCGATACTATCAAGAGCCGAATATCAAGGTTTCACGCCAGTTAACCATCAATGTTCCAATAACAACGCCAGTCACGTCTCGTTTGTTAGCAGCCTGCTTTCAAGCAGTCGAGTTACTAAACCACTTTAGTTACTGAAAACCTCATTTTAATACCGTATTTCGACGTTAGAAGTATTTCTTTTGCCATACCGGAAAGCTTTTTGTCATGGCGAATATGCACGTAACATGCTTATAAACGTCCGAGTCACTCAGGCAGCGTTTACACTGTACCGTTTTCGTAGCGTTCTCGTATTGTTCGAGAGAACTAGACTATTGTCTTGCGTTCCCTTGAGGATAAAAAACAATACGAGAACGCTACGAAAACGGTACAGTGTAAACGCTGCCTCAATTTCTGCATGTGCATGAAACGCTAGCGACCATGCATGCATGTACTTGTTAATTTGCATATATAACAAACAGATTAAGGTCCCCAGGGATTTAACTCAGTTTTAACTGGAACGGCTCAATATTAATTCATCGAAAGAATGCTTCAATAATCAAGACAGGTTTTCGATCTAAAAGACTGAAACACCAATTTCTTGATAGGTTTACAATTTCATATTTAGGCCCTTTTAATCGTTCGTTCGTTTATCCCTTTGTCTTTGACTTTTGGCAAAAAGTAAAAATTGGAAAATCGAATGGGAATAACTAATAAGCCCGTCGCGGATATAACGTCACAACAAGTGTCAAAACAATCAGCCACAAGATGTAAACCAATGAAAAAAACATATGATAACCACAGTGAAACACGCTATTTGATTGGTCAATATACCCGTGCAAAATCTACACACGTAAAAACGCACAAGTTGTAACAAACCTGCAGCAGACTTGTAGCAATGTTGTTCCAACAACTTGTCAACAGGATGTGCTCGCACTGCTTGTTCCCAGCTGGTTGACAAGTTGTCAACGGCTCGTTTACAACTTGCTACAAGGTTGTTGAACTCAACAGACGTGTTACAAGTTGTTCCAACAATTTGCTATCGTCCTGCAATTCAAGAATTTGTCAACAAGTTGTGAGCGACAAGCTTGTAGCAACTTGATAAAATAACAACATTGTTACAACTTGTCCACAAGCTTGCTACAAGCCTGTTGCGAACACGTCCTGTTGAAAAGTTGTGAGTGACATGTCACCTTGTTGCAACTTGATAAAATAACAGCATTGTTACAACTTGTTCACAAGCTTACTACAAGCCTGTTGCGAACACATCTTGTTGAGAAGTTGTGAGTGACAACCTTGTAGCAACTTGATAAAATAACAGCATTGTTACAACTTGCTGACAAGTTTGCAACAAGCCTGTTGTGAACAAATATAATAACAGCATTGTTACAACTTGTTGACAAGCTTGCAACGAGCCTGTTCTGAACAAATATAATAACAGCATTGTTACAACTTGTTGACAACTTTGCTACATGCCTGTTGTGAACAAATAAAATAACAGCATTGTTACAACTTGTTGACAAGCTTGCTACAAGCCTGTTGTGACAAATATAATAACAGCATTGTTACAACTTGTTGACAAGTTTGCTACAAGCCTGTTGTGACAAATATAATAACAGCATTGTTACAACTTGTTGACAAGCTTGCTACAAGCCTGTTGTGACAAATATAATAACAGCATTGTTACAACTTGTTGACAAGGTTGCTACAAGTCTGATGTGAACAAATATAATAACAGCATTGTTACAACTTGTTGACAAGCTTGCTACAAGCCTGTTGTGACAAAAATAATAACAGCATTGTTACAATTTGTTGACAAGCTTGCTACAAGCCTGTTGTGCTAAATATAATAACAGCATTGTTACAACTTGTTGACAAGTTTGCTACAAGCCTGTTGTGACAAATATAATAACAGCATTGTTACAACTTGTTGACAAGTTTGCTATAAGCCTGCTGTGACAAATATAATAACGGCATTGTTACAACTTGTTGACAAGCTTGCTACAAGTCTGATGTGAACAAATATAATAACAGCATTGTTACAACTTGTTGACAAGCTTCTTACAAGCCTGTTGTGAACACATCTTGTTGACAAGTTGTGAGTGACAACCTTGTAGCAAATTGATAAAATAACAGCATTGTTACAACTTGTTGACAAGCTTGCTACAAGCCTGTTGCAAACACATCTTGTTGACAAGTTGTGAGTGACAACCTTGTAGCAACTTGAAAAAATAACAGCATTGTTACAACTTGTTGACAACCTTTCTACAAGCCTGTTGTGAACAAATATAATAACAGCATTGTTACAACTTGTTGACAAGCTTCCTACAAGCCTGTTGTGACAAATATAATAACAGCATTGTTACAACTTGTTGACAAGCTTGCTACAAGCCTGTTGTGACAAATATAATAACAGCATTGTTACAACTTGTTGACAAGCTTGCTACAAGCCTGTTGTGAACAAATATAATAACAGCATTGTTACAACTTGTTGACAAGCTTGCTACAAGCCTGATGTGAACAAATATAATAACGGCATTGTTACAACTTGTTGACAAGCTTGCTACAAGCCTGATGTGAACAAATATAATAACGACATTGTTACAACTTGTTGACAAGCTTGCTACAAGCCTGATGTGAACAAATATAATAACAGCATTGTTACAACTTGTTGACAAGCTTGCTACAAGCCTGTTGTGAACAAATATAATAACAGCATTGTTACAACTTGTTGACAAGCTTGCTACAAGCCTGTTGTGATAAATATAATAACAGCATTGTTACAATTTGTTGACAAGTTTGCTATAAGCCTGTTGTGACAAATATAATAACAGCATTGTTACAACTTGTTGACAAGCTTGCTACAAGTCTGATGTGAACAAATATAATAACAGCATTGTTACAACTTGTTGACAAGCTTGCTACAAGCCTGTTGTGATAAATATAATAACAGCATTGTTACAACTTGTTGACAAGTTTGCTACAAGCCTGTTGTGACAAATATAATAACGGCATTGTTACAACTTGTTGACAAGCTTGCTACAAGTCTGATGTGAACAAATATAATAACAGCATTGTTACAACTTGTTGACAAGCTTGCTACAAGCCTGTTGTGATAAATATAATAACAGCATTGTTACAACTTGTTGACAAGTTTGCTACGAGCCTGTTGTGACAAATATAATAACAGCATTGTTACAACTTGTTGACAAGCTTGCTACAAGCCTGTTGTGAACAAATATAATAACGGCATTGTTACAACTTGTTGACAAGCTTGCTACAAGCCTGATGTGAACAAATATAATAACGGCATTGTTACAACTTGTTGACAAGCTTGCTACAAGTCTGATGTGAACAAATATAATAACAGCATTGTTACAACTTGTTGACAAGCTTGCTACAAGCCTGTTGTGACAAATATAATAACGGCATTGTAACAACTTGTTGACAAGCTTGCTACAAGTCTGATGTGAACAAATATAATAACAGCATTGTTACAACTTGTTGACAAGGTTGCTACAAGTCTGATGTGAACAATATAATAACAGCATTGTTACAACTTGTTGACAAGCTTGCTACAAGCCTGTTGTGATAAATATAATAACAGCATTGTTACAACTTGTTGACAAGCTTGCTACAAGCCTGTTGTGACAAATATAATAACGGCATTGTAACAACTTGTTGACAAGCTTGCTACAAGTCTGATGTGACAAATATAATAACAGCATTGTTACAACTTGTTGACAAGCTTGCTACAAGCCTGTTGTGACAAATATAATAACAGCATTGTTACAACTTGTTGACAAGCTTGCTACAAGCCTGTTGTCAACACATCTTGTTGACAAGTTGTGAGTGACAACCTTGTAGCAAATTGATAAAATAACAGCATTGTCACAACTTGTTGATAAGCTTGCTACAAGCCTGTTGCGAACACGTCTTGTTGACAAGTTGTGAGTGACAACCTTGTAGCAACTTGATAAAATAACAGCATTGTTACAACTTGTTGACAAGCTTGCTACAAGCCTGTTGTGAACAAATTTAATAACGACATTGTTACAACTTGTTGACAAGCTTGCTACAAGCCTGTTGTGACAAATATAATAACGGCATTGTTACAACTTGTTGACAAGCTTGCTATAAGCCTGTTGTGACAAATATAATAACGGCATTGTTACAACTTGTTGAAAAGCTTGCTACAAGTCTGATGTGAACAAATATAATAACAGCATTGTTACAACTTGTTGACAAGCTTGCTACAAGCCTGTTGTGACAAATATAATAACAACATTGTTACGACTTGTTGACGAGCTTGCTACAAGCCCGTTGTGAACACATCTTGTTGACAAGTTATGAGTGACAACCTTGTAGCAAATTGATAAAATACAGCATTGTCACAACTTGTTGACAAGCTTGCTACAAGCCTGTTGTGACAAATATAATAACAGCATTGTTACAACTTGTTGACAAGCTTGCTACAAGTCTGATGTGAACAAATATAATAACAGCATTGTTACAACTTGTTGACAAGCTTGCTACAAGCCTGTTGTGATAAATATAATAACAGCATTGTTACAACTTGTTGACAAGTTTGCTACGAGCCTGTTGTGACAAATATAATAACAGCATTGTTACAACTTGTTGACAAGCTTGCTACAAGCCTGTTGTGAACAAATATAATAACAGCATTGTTACAACTTGTTGACAAGCTTGCTACAAGCCTGATGTGAACAAATATAATAACGGCATTGTTACAACTTGTTGACAAGCTTGCTACAAGTCTGATGTGAACAAATATAATAACAGCATTGTTACAACTTGTTGACAAGCTTGCTACAAGCCTGTTGTGACAAATATAATAACGGCATTGTAACAACTTGTTGACAAGCTTGCTACAAGTCTGATGTGAACAAATATAATAACAGCATTGTTACAACTTGTTGACAAGCTTGCTACAAGCCTTTTGCGAACAGATATAATAACAGCATTGTTACAACTTGTTGACAAGCTTCCTACAAGCCTGTTGCGAACAAATATAATAACAGCATTGTTACAACTTGTTGACAAGCTTGCTACAAGCCTGTTGTGAACAAATATAGTAACAGCATTGTTACAACTTGTTGACAACTTTGCTACAAGCCTGTTGTGAACAAATATAATAACAGCATTGTTACAACTTGTTGACAAGCTTGCTACAAGCCTGTTGCGAACAAATATAATAACAGAATTGTTACAACTTGTTGACAAGCTTGCTAGAAGTCTGTTTTGAACAAA